ACAGTCACAGGTGTCGGCATGGAGGTCGACTCGGCCGAGCACGATGAGCTGATCGATGCAGTGGGCAGGGCCGCTCGGCTCGAGCTGTTGGTCCCGGCTGGGAGCGTCACTGTGGAGCTCAGCGCCAATGACAGGCGCCGTTGGCCAGAGTGGGTGCATACCGCCCAGTCCCGAGAGCCTTTTTACAAGGTCGATCTCGTGGAGGCCAGCTCCCCCGCTCTCGCGGAGGAGATGGGGAAGCTGGTCAAGAAGGGCGCCCTGTACGTGCGTTGCTGCCGCAGCGCCACCTCCGAGTGCAAGGTGCTGGGCCCGGCTGGTGCGGCCACGATCCATTGCGGCGAGTTCCGGCTTTGGCCTGCCGACGGCGGGAGCGCCGACCATCCTCGGGACGGCCCGCCCTCGAAGAAGCCGAAGGCCGTGGACGCGCGGTTAGAGCAGCCGCCAGCCCCTGACCATGCAGGGGGGCATCGCGTCGGGGAGGCCTTGGCCACGGGTCGTCCTGCCACGGCCCCTCCACCCAGGGATCCGGCGATGGCACGCGTGGCTGAGCTCAGGGATAAGCTGGCGGCTGTGAGACGGCGGGCCGGTCACGGGCCCGAGGCTCCAGGGGAAGGTGGTGGCCGGTCGGCTGCTTCCTCGGGGCTCCACTTCTCCATCGACCCTGGTGGCGCCGGGGCTGCTGGGCCAGGTGGGCCTGACCGTGAGGAGCGCAGGAATGACGAGGAGGGGGGGCGCCTCGCCGAGGAACTGAAGGCGAAGATCAGGGAGCTGAAGGGGCCCACGTCGGTCCACGATCGTTTGATCGAGAGGGCCATTGAGCGGGCCGGCAGGCAGGGTAGGAAGGCCCGCGACAGGTCGCGCGGGCGCCGGCGGAGGCGCTCGAGGAGCCGTTCGCGTGGGTCATCTAGCTCGGGTCGAGTTTTCGCCGGGCCCGGCGGTCGTCACAGGAACCCGCGGCAGAGACCGCGCGACGGCAGCCGGGCGTCCTCCTGACGGCGTTCCTGAAGAAGATCCAGATCGACGCATTTGGGCCACATGGGCGGGGACGAGGATCCCCGCGGCCTCAGGCCGCTCGTGGACACGCACCTCACGGCCGTGCTCCTGCCAGCCTCGGGGGACCGCGGGCTGCGGAACACGCGCGAGCTGAAGACGCTTGCGCTCGCGATCGACCACTTGCTGTCCGGACGCATCTGCGAGGCCGGGGACCTCTTGGCCCAGAGGTTCCGCGCCGTGGAAGCGTCGCACCAGGAGGGCTGGGCGGTGGCCAGGCACCTCGAGGTAATTGGGGACACGGCGGTCCCCAGCCTGACGGATCGCGAGAGAGAGGTGGCCGTGCGGCAGGAGACCGAGGATCGGAAGTTCAAGGACTTGGTCGCCAAGGCCAATGGCGAGGCCTGGCTAGAGACTCGGCCGGGCTGGCGACTGTGGCGGGTCGCCGGCCTTGAGGCCACCCCCGCACGGTCGCGTGCGCGGCCAGCCAGCACCCTCGCCGCCGCAGGTGCCGTCGACTGGCGGCCCTCGCAGTCCGCCGCCGCTGGCGCCCCGCGGCGGGACTCTGGTCGACGCGGGCGTTCCAGCACAGGCCCCGCCGAGTGCAGCGGTCGGGAGCCGTCACGACCAGCCGCGCCCCGCCACCGAGGCAGCAGGCGGAGGTCCAGGGCGCCCGCCAGCCATGAAGAGGTGCCGTGGCGCGAAAGCCCAAGAGGAGCGGAGCGTCCCGGGCTTTCTGGGCCCCGAAGGGCGCAGCCAGTGGCCGCCCGGGAGGCCGCCCCCAAGGGGGGCCGCGGCCTCCCTGGGCGTCTCGGTGAGGGCCGCGCTCGTGGCGGCGGCGCCCCCCCCTCGAAGCCTGAAAACCGGCCCCGGTTTCTCGCTCCGGAGGGGTCCAGGGGCCAAAACCGGCCTCGGTTTTTCGCCGCTGCAGTGCCTCTGCGGGGGGCTCGGCCTCGGCAGCGCGCCTGGCGGCGGTTGCAGCAGCAGCGCGGGCAGGCCAGAACCTCCGCGACTTCGGCGTGGCTCTGCGGCAGGACGCGTCGAGTGGTAGGGTGTCGTTGCGTTGCGTCGCAGACGGTTTGATTCGGGGCTGGGCCAGCGCAATATCGGATTGGGGGGCTGGGCGTGATCTACCCCCTTTGCCGATTGTCACCCGCTCCGCGGACGAGCATGCCAGGCGCATGCGAGATCATTCGGAAAAGTTCCAGCGGCAACATGCTCAGCCAGGAGTGTGGTCGTGGCTTTGGCTGCGGTTGAACTTGTTTCACGGTGGCTACGACCCGCGGCCCCTGAAGAGCAGAGCGATCGAGCGACCGAGAGATACCCCATCGAAGGCGCAGTCCATGGTTTCTGCACCTGCTCGCGCAGAAGGTCGACTATTTCCTGGACCTGGACGCGGTCGTACCGTGCGAGGATTGGGCTGCGAGCCTCAAGTCCGCGCGCGTCGCCTATGACGGCAACGCCGTGGAGCGGGCCCAGAGGCTCTCGCGGCCCCAGGCGCTTCCGGGGTTGCCGCGCCCCGAGAACTGCGCAAGCATACCAGCTGAAGAGATAGCCGAGGGCGTCGTCAAGGAGTTCCTGGAGAACCCGCGCCGTTGCCTGCTGGACTTGGACGCCCTGGAGGCCCCCCCGACGGCGGGGGCGGTCCTGATCCAGCCTGGCGAGGACCTCGTCATCGCCAAGGAGCTGATTTCGATGGGGTCTTTGCGTGGCTCTTGAGGAGCACGAGCTGATCAATATTGGTTCAGGGTTCCTCCTCAACGGGGCATTCGGGGCCCCGAAGGGGGAGCAGCGGGGGCCCGATGCCGGCAGCCGGCGCGGCCAGGACGTGCTCCGTTTCGTTATGAACTTGACCGCCTCCAACAGCGCGCAGGAGCTCTGAAAGGGGGGCATCAACCTCCTGCCGCACTTCGGGGCGTGGAGATCCATCATGTTGGAGGGCGAGCAGGAGCTAGCCTGGAGCTGGCTGGACTTGAAGGGGCGTTTCTACTTGTTCCGTTCGCGGCGGACCTGGGCCCCCCTGTTCGCTTTCAATTGGCATTGCGAGGCGTCCGAGCTCGGGGTGCCTGGGCATGGCCGTCGCTGGCTGGCCTCTGTCACCTTGCCAACGGGATGGAAGTCCGCAATGGGGATGGTGCAATACTTGCATCGCAAGCTCCTCATGCGGACGGGAGCTCCATCAAGGGCCCTCCCCGCCCCGAGGGAGCTCTGGAAGGACCGCGCGGTTCCGCCTTTACTGCCAGGCGGCGGCGATATGTCAGCGCTGTGGCAGATCTACGCGGACGACCTCGACGCGCCCGAGATTCTTCTTCGAGGGGGGATCTGGAGGCGGCCAGGGCGGGCGGGTCGGCCGCGCACTACAACGCGGCGCGCGCCCGTTACGCCGCTCGCGAGGTGCCGACGTCCGCGGAGAAGGCGGGCGACAGACTGCAGATCGCCCGAAGGCTGGGTGCGCGGATCGATGGAGCGGCTGGCGCCGTTAGCCCGGACGCCAGGCGGATCGGCCGCATCATCGGCGCCAAGGACTTGCAGGTGCTGGGTGGCCATTGGACGCATCTGTTCCAGTTCCGCCGGGAGGCGTCGAGCCTTCTGGCCCACTTCTGGCCGCTGCTGGCGACGGCGCTTCGGCGTCGGAAGGTCGCGGCCACGGAGCTCGTGAGGACCGAGCTGTGGCTGTGCGTTGTTCACCTGCCGCTTCTCGCTATGTCTCTCAGGTCGGCTATCGACCCTGTCGCCACGGCGTCCGACGCCTCCGAGCAGGGCGGGGGCGTTTGCGCATCCCGGGGCCTCACGCCCACCGGGCGCCTGGACGTCGTTCACGACCGCGCGCTCCTCGCTCGAGGCGCGACGGACGGCCCGGACTTGGCTAGCCTCTGCGATGGGATCGGCGGCGCAAGGCAAGCCCTGCACCTGCTGGGGGTCACACCCGCCATGTATTGCAGCAGCGAGGTGGACGACGCGGCCCTCAGGGTCATCCGGGCGCGCTGGCCCGAAGCCGTGGAGCTCGGCGGCATGGGAACTATCTGCCAGGCCACTTTCGACCCGTTGGCCAGGAAGTTTTGCAACCTGTCGTTGATCGTGGTCGTGCTGGGTGCCCCCAGCCATGCCCCGAGCCCGCTGTTCAGGTTCGTCGAGGTGGTGGCAGCGGCGCGGCGTGCGTTCGCATACTGCGAGGTCATGTGGCTCGTGGAGTCAGTGCCCGACATGGGGGCGCAGTCGGAGGAGCAGTTTTCGGGCCTTCTGGGCCAGCGTCCGCTCTACCTGCGCCCGGGGCTGGCGGGCCCAATAAAGCGGCCGCGTTTGTATTGCGGACGAGTTGGTCAGTCACTGCATCTTGCCGCTCCAGGGCGAGCACAACCCAGAGAGGATTGGAGGCGGTCGTCGAGGCCCCCTGGCCATCATCCGCCTCCGCCCGCGAGCCTGGTGCTCGGCCTCGCGAATCAACCATTGATTCGTGTGAAACTTTCGCCGGGGCGGCGAGGAAGAAGCGCCCTCCGCATAGGCTGGCCGGTTGTGCGGACTGCGACCTGGACACGTTGGCACGGTGGCAGGCCGATGGCATGCGGCACCCGCCCTGCCAGTACAAGCCGGCCAATTGCGTCTGGCAGTGCAGGCAGGGGGCATCAGCGGCGAGGCTGCGCCCACTGGTAGCCAATGAGAGGGAGGCCATGATGGGCTACCCCAGGGGCTACACTTTAGCGGGCCCTGGGGCGCGCGAGTCAGGGTCAGGCCGCCCAGTTAGAAGATGCCCGGTGCGCGCTGATCGGGGTCAGCTGCCACGCTCCATGCATCGCCTGGCTCTTCGGCTCCGCGTTGCACGAGCACGGTCTGCTGGAGGCCAGGCCTGACTTCGCCCAGTGCTGGGGCACGCTCGCGGAGGAGGAGGCCGGCGAAGCATTGAGTCGCCTCCTTGACTCGGGAGGCGGCGGGCGCTCGCTGGAGGAGGAGGCCGTGGCTCTCCTCCACCGCTCGGCCATGTTTAAAGGCTCGGACGTTCGCCTGGCCGATTAAGTAATCCTGAGCCCAGGCACTTGGCCTAGGAGAGGTTTGGACCCCAGGCGGTAGAATTGGAAAGTCGTTCTGTCCTACCCCCTGGGGGGTGCTCATATAAACGCACTCGAATTAAAGGCAGTTTAAAGTTCCATCTAGTGGAGGGCTCGGCGAAGCGCCGGGCTCGGCAGATGCGTCGCCCATGCGTTGGGTTCCCAGGTTTGTATGAGCGCTCTGGTTAAGGGGCGCTCCAGTTCGTTTCAGTTGCAAGCGGTTCTTAGACGCATCAACGCCCTTCTCCTCGCCTCGAGCTTGGTCCCTGCATTTCTTTATATAGCGACCGCTGACAATCCAGCGGACGCACCATCGAGATGGCCTCCAGGATGAGGGCCGCAGATGACCGAGCACGGCGTCGGGAGTCGAGGGCGCGCTTAGGACCGTTGAGAAACAACCAGCTGAAGCCTGGGACCTTGAAGAGATACGGCGACGCTGTCAAGCGCTTCTTTGCCTGGATGGACCGAATGTCACATCCAGTGCCGCCTCACACGGGCGACTTCGATGTTTTACTGTGCGAACACTTTGAGCATTTGTGGCAGGAAGGCGATGCCTTGGCCCTGGCCGGCGACGCTCTCAGCGGGCTGACCCACGAGGTTAAAAACCTGAAAGGCAGCTTGCGCGAGAGTTGGGGGGTGTTGGGAACTTGGCAGTCCCTCGAGCCTCCGAATCGCGCGCCGCCGCTCTTGGACGAGGCGGTCTGCGCCATGGCCGGTTGGGCACTAGGAGAGGGGAATGTAGGTTTCGTTTTCTTCTGCTACACTGCCTACCAGTGCATCTTGAGGACCGGCGAAGCTTTCGGCCTCAAGGTCGCCTCAGCCACTCTGGCCCCTGAAGGGCATGAGGTATTGTTCGAGCTGGGCCTCACGAAAGGAGGACGGCGGCGACGGGAGAAATGTGAACACGTTCTCTCGACAAAACCCACGCTGATAAAGTTGTTTTTGTTGGCACTGGAGGGCAAGGCACAGGGTGACAGACTTTACCCCGTGACCGCCCACTGCATGAGGCAAACCTTCGCTCGAGCCTGCCGGGAGCTGGGGCTCGGTGAGGATATGCGCCCCTACAGCTGCTGTAGGGGTGGGGCCACCGCTCACTTTCAGAAATTCGGCTCTTTGTCTCTCACCACTACACGAGGCAGGTGGGCAAATCAGAAGACCTGCCGGTTGTACATAGATGAAGCGAGAGTGACCCTCCAGGAGATGCACGTGCGTCCGGAGGTAGACTGACGGCTCCGCAGAGCCTGCGCTCTCTTTACACATTGCCTGGGGCAGGACGGATAAGAACTCCAGTCGGCCCGCAGTTTGGGAGTGCGGTCCCGCCCCCTAGTGGCCAGCTGGCGCGGTGAGTGCGCGTCGCCTCCCGCGTCGGCATCTCCACCCATGCACTCCCCATACACCTTGCAAAGCAATATTGGTGCAAATGCCTCTTCCGTCCTGCCCGGGCTCTTCCTGCCCAGGGCCCCGTAGTCATCGATCAGCGTCCAGTCCCGTCTCACTCCGTTTGCTTGTCGGATCCGCCATGAGGATCGTCAGGAGGCAAGGGAGGAGGAGGAAGAGAAGAAGAAAAGGAGGACGCTCACGTTACAGCGTTTTTTTCACCTGCCCGAGCTCGGCGAGGCCGCCGCATCACCGAATCTCGGCACCCGTGCACGCTGCTCTTCCTCATCCTCCTTCCTCCTCCGAATCCCCCTCCCCCTGCTCAGCCCGCGTGGCGGCTGGCATGAAGGGATCCTTGCTTCGAGGGGTCGAATTCGGAGGTGTTTTTGTAAAAACACCTCCGAATCCCAAAGGGCCCCCAAACATGACAATAATTGGGGTCCCTCTGGGGTCATTGCGTCTCCGGCGTTCGGCATTCTGCCATTTTTGGGGTGCGTGGAAGGCCGGCCGGCCGAGCGGCGGCGGCATTAGCCTAGCCCGCCTGCTCCTGGTCGGGCGGGTGCCGGCCGATCGTGGAAATCGCGCGGACATAGCGGATGCTCGTTCGCTGTTCGTGACGATTTCCGCGGTCACGGCCGTGTACTCCGGCCCTCAAAGCTACAGAGGTTGTTGGCCCAGCCCGAAAAAGGAGCTGGGGTCAGAAGCGGAGGAGTAGCAGGAGCAGGGTAGCACAATACATACATACATGTATACATACGTTCATACATACATACATATAGTGGCGCTCGGCCCATCCCGCCACCGTGCCTTGGTTGTCGGCCTGAGATCCTTGGTGCCTGGGCTGCGGGTTAGAAGTTGCATGCCTCAAGTGGTACTTGGGGCTTCTTTTGAGTTTATTGGGGGCCTCTTGGGGCCTCTTGGGGGTCTTTTTGGGAGGCCTCTACGGGGCTTCTTGGGCCCTCTTGGGGGACCTCTCGGGGGCCTCTTGGGCCGTGTTTGGCGCCTCTTGGGGCCCCCTGGGACCGTTTTGGGGCGGAAAGCTCGGATTAGCTCCCCTTCGTGGGCCCCTCTTTGGGCCGTCTTGGGGCACTCTTGGGCCGTCTTGGGGGCCTCTTGGGCCGTCTTAGCGCCCTCTTGGGCCGTTTCGAGCGTCTCTTGGGAGCCTCTTGGGCCGTTTTGGGGCGGTCCTGGAGGACTCTGGGGCCGTCTTCAACGCCGTGAAGGCCGAAAAGTCGCGCATGATAAACATGTACGTCTCCACAGAGGAATTCGACGATGTTGACCTATGGGGCCCCTCTTTGGAATGCTCTTGGAGGCTTCCTGGGCCGTCTGGGAGGCTTTTGGGGCCGTCTTGGGGCCATCCTTGGCGCCGTGGGCCGACCTTTGGGAGTCTCGGGGGCCTCTTGGGCCGTCGTGGGGGGGCTGCTTGGAGCCCTCTGGGGCCTCGTGGGGCCTGGTGACACCTTTGCCTCCCCCCCCTCCAACCCGGCCGGACCGGGCTCGCGGGGGAGGGGTTTGGGGAGGGGGAAGCATCTCACACGCCGTGACCCCAAGGGGTCGGCGGATTTGCGCCATCAAGGGCTATTGCATGTTCGCTTGTAAAGCTGATTTTCGAGCAGACGCGTGTGTCCGATCGTCACCACCGCGGACCTGTTTTAAGATGATTGGTGGCCGAGTGTTGCCAGAACCTCGGAGCGTCAGTGTGACGTTTACCTCGTGCGTTACCAGGCAGCCAGGAGTCGCCGCCGATGACGCTGTTGAATTCAAGATGCGCAGCAATGGAATACAGCAGCATTGCTAGACGGCCCGCGCTGTTTCGAGCTGTTCACAAGGAATAGCCACGCGCATCATTTCTTGCCCCACGGCCCCCAGACGTTCCCCACTCCCTCCCTCCCCCCGCCCCTCCTCTCGACCACCCTCAACCTCCCTCTCCTCTCCTCTCGTCTTCCTCTCCGCCCCCTCCCCTCCCCTCCCCCAGCACCTCCCCCTTCGTCCCCGCCCCTCCCAAGATCGACCTTCCCTATCGTGGAAGTGGCACTGGGCGTAGCCGCGGGCATGCCGCCAGGCCTTTTCCACAGTGCTCGAAAATCGTGCGGTCCTGCAGTGATGGAGTTCACTGAGGAGGCATACCATCGTAACTCCTCCGCTAATCAATATCGTCATCGTCGACACTACCGTTGATGACCTGGATTCACAAGTGATGGAGAAACAGTAGTTGCGAGCGGCGGCTAACGTTGCGGCGCCAGGTTCCATCCATGACATGGGCCGAGCTGGAATCACAAACGCCTCTTCTGCCTGACCCCTTCCCTTGCGCCATCCATCCTCATTGCTCAATCACGTTCCCCTTCCGTCTCGCTTTCGCAAGGCGTGAAGCAGACATCCTGTCAGAGGCTCCACAAGACAGGTGCGTGTATGGGGAGCAGCTTCCAACAAACACGCCACTGGCGTTCCCTGAGGTATGCATCCGTCAAATCCGCCGAGAATGCACTTATGTCTTAACATGTGTTTTGCCGGACCAGGCAGGCGATCGGTAAGACCATCTCGCTTCCTTACATTTTGAGTACAAGAGTACACGGCTGAATGGTATCGAATATTGGATTGTAAACCGGGCAGGGAGAGCAGAAGGGAGGAGACGAGGGAGGGATGCGAAGGGAAACACGAGATGAATGGAGGAGTTTGGCGGAGAAGGGGATGAGGGAGGAGTGAGGAGCGAGAGAGAGTGGAGGGAGCAAGAGGAGGAGGAGGAGGAGGAGGAGGAGGAGGAGGAGGAGGAGGAAATGGGGGCGGAGGAGGTGGAGGAGGAGGATAGTCATCGATCCGAGCGTCCCCATGGGCCATCGCGCCACCGCGGCGTGAAACCAGCAGCGGCGCCTCAGCTAATCACAGAGAGCCATGACACTCATTCAAATGTAGTTATTCCGGCTGTGCCTGTATGCATATCGTTGACGCCGACGGCGAACCACCAGGGCACCCTTGCCTTTGGCAACGCAGATGTGGCCAAATGTTGGGCCGAAGTCTTGCCAAGCCATTGGGCTACTTGTTTCTCCAGCCGGTATGAAAACTTCTGGGTGGAACACCTGTGGGGGGGGAGGAAGAGGGAGGAGGAGGAGGAGGAGGAAGAGGAGGAGGAGGAGGGAAAAGGGGCCTCTTGGGGGCCTCTGAGGGCCTCTTGGGGGCCTCTTGGGGGCACCTCGGGGCGCTTTAGGGCCGTCTTTGAGGTTTGTGGAGCTGCGCCTTGGGGCCCTGTTGGAGACGTCTTGGGGGTCTCTTGGGCCGTCTTGGGGCCATCGTTGCCCGTGTTGGGGCCCTTCTGGGGCCGTATTGGGGCCATCTCGGAGGCCTCTCTGGCCGTCGTCGGATGGCGGAAGCCCGGAATGGCGGGAATGCGACAATTATTGAAAAGCCTGAGGAGCAAACATGATTTTGACCTCATGGAGGTCATCGTGGAGCCCTCTTGGGGTGTCTTGGGCGCCTTTTGGCCCGTCTGGAGGCTATCCTGGGCCGTCTTGGAGTCATGTTGGGCCGACTTGGAGGCCGTCGTCTTGGCCGACTTGAAAGAGTGCTCAGTAGTCTTGCAGGCCATCTTACACGGTCTTGGGCCATCTTGGAGACCATCTCAGACGTCTTGGAGACGGAGACAGGACCTTTGCGGGTCAGAAGAGGCCTTCCGTATGGCTGGTCGGATCGGCCGAGACCCCTTGTGGGAGCTTCGTCGGAAGGCTTCAAAACAGCAAAAGAGATCGGCACGCCCGGCTCCATTCCAGGGGGTGCCAGAGGTGCCCCTGGCCCAAGGTGCCCCCCAGCGTGTCGCTCCATTTTGGAGTCCCTGGGGCCTTATGGGCCTCGTGAGGCGTGCTCTGGAGACCGTGGGGGCCTCCCCTGGAAATCCAGGGGGCACTTTGGTCCAGAGGCACTTCTCATAGCACCCCACCCTTGTGGCAGGCACAAGGGGAGCGCATCTAGTGGCTTTCGGCCCCTCCCGCAACAGTGCCTGGGTTGTAGGTCTCTGGGTTGTAGGTCTCAGGCCTTTGGGATGCCTGTGGTGATCTCTGGGGAGGAAGCCTCTTGGAGGCGGTGTTGGAGGTGTCCTGGAGCTTCTCAGGGGCCTCTGGGGGGCCTCTTGGGTCTGATTTGGATCTCTCGGAGGCCTCCTTGGTCTTTGGGGGCCTCTTGGGGCCTGCTGGCAGTCTGGGGAGTCATCTGGGGGTGGCGTCCTGGGGCCATCTTCTTGCATCCCCCCCCGAAAAAAATAAATCGAAACATAACACACGAGAAGCACCAGGAAACGCCAGGATCGCTTGGCAGCGCTCGAGACTTCGGGCGGCGGGCCCTTTTCAAGACTTTGGCGATATCGAGCACGGAGGACTCTTAAGAGATCTGAGGACTCCACTTCGTCCCTCGAGGCACGGCGGTGGATCTACCCACAAATGCATGACAGCACACTGAGCTCAAGAGATATCTCGTACAACGGGGAGGAGGTGGGGGAGGAGCAGGAGGAGGAGGAGGAGGTGCAGGAGGAGGTGGAGGCGGAGGCGCTACCATGTCGCAACACAAGACCGCGCGGATTTCGCGGGCGATAGCTGGCGGGTGGGTTCCAGCACCAACTGGAATCAGGAGGAGTACGTAGGGCGATGAAGAGCAGCATCGCTGGTGTCGAGGCGGTTGCGCTTCGGAAGAGAGGGGAGGAGCAAGAGGGAGGATGAGAGAGGAAGGAGAAGGGGGCAGGGATGAGGGAGCAGCGGCCGGGGGGGATCGGGAGGAGAGAGCAGGGAGGAAGGAGGGGAGGAGAGGGGACACGGTGGGCACGTGAGTGTGGGGGCGGAGGGAGGAGGGGGGCGGGAGGGCAGGAGGAGGAGGAGAGGGGAGGAGGCGAATTGGGGGGCGCGGGAGCAGCGGGGAGGGGGTTAGCCGCGGGCTGGGCGTCGGGTGGCCCGTCTACGGCTGTGAGCGAGCGCCCGCGCGGCCGGGCCGGGCGGGCGCCCCGACGGGGGGGGCCGTCCCGCGCAAGCAGGGGGAGGGAAGGAAGGAAGGAGGGAAGGGCGGAAGGGCATGAGGGGGGAGGAGGGGAGGAGCGAGGAGGGAGGAGGAGATGAGTGTGAGCAGTCAGGCGGTGACAAGGAGGACGCCGGCGAAGGACGGACGAGCAAGGAAATAGAGAGAGAGGAGGAGGAGGAGGAGGAGGAGGAGGAGGAGGAGGAGGAGGAGGAGGAGGAGGAGGAGGGTAGCACGCGCAAACACAATACGCATCACCGATACTGCACTAAACCCTCCCTCCAAGTTCCCCCTGCAGGGCCACTGCCCGCAATGACAATGCAATGACAATACAGTATTGTCATTGCGGGCAGTGGCCCATTAGAAAACAACCGTCTGAGAATTATCCATCGTGCCAAAACACCGTGCCTGGGACTTGAGCGCCGCTGACCTACGTGACTGCTAGGTCCTGACAATCCTAAGTCGTGACTCGACACTATATGTGGGACTTCAACACTGCAGATCTACGTAATTGTTGCGCCCCGACAATCCTAACTCGTGCTAGAACATTCTTCCTGGGAGGTCAATCATACGAACATTTTAAAGTGCTTTACACTTTCAAAACGAATGCGCGTGGCGCTAAAGCGAGAGCCACATGTTGAAAAGGAACCGCCCTCCATCCTTGACTATGTTACCAACTGTTCAAACGAAATTGCGCAGCGCCAGAGCGGGAGCCACATTTGAAAAGGAACCGCCCTCCATCATTGAAGCTGCTACAAGCCTTTAAAACAAATGTGCGCGGCTCTAAAGCGAGAGCCACACTTTGAAAAAGAACCACCCTCCATTCCTGAAAGTGCTGCAAACGTTTAAAGCAAATTCGTGCAGCGCTAAGACAATAACCATATGTTGAAAACGGCCCGCCCTCCATCCATGAAACTGCTGCAAACTTTGAAAACGAATGCGTGCGGCGCTAAGGCGAGCCACATGCTGAAAGCCACCCGCCCTCCATCCGCGAAATTCTTGCAACTATCCAGCTTCATGATCAAACACGGTGAGGTAGTATCACGCGAAACGCCATCCCGTCCTACCGACATGTCTGGGGGTGCGACAGGGAGGACACATTTCGAAGGAAAAGAGATGGAGGATGAGGAGGAGGAGGAGGAGGAGGAGGAGGAGACAGGAGGAGAAAGGATGACACAGGAAGGAGGACCGAGGATAGAGTATTGAGAGCCGAGCAGCGATAGACGAGGAGCGGTCGAGGAGAGAAAGACGAAGGCAGGAGGAAATCAGGAAAGGAGGGGCTTAGGGGAAAAAGGGAGAAGGCGAGGAGGATGGGAAGGAGGTGGAAGAGGAAGGAACTGACAGGAGAAACGAACTTGGAGGGAGATGGAGAGGAGGGTGGACAGGGGAGAAGGAAAAGGAGAAGTAGGACATGCGGAAAGGGAGGGAGGAGCACAAGGAGGAGGGAGACAGAGGGGGTATAGGATGAGGCTGCGGCGGGGGAGGGGGGATACTAGGAGAACGCCGAGGAGGAGCAGCAGCAGCAGAAGATGAGGGGGGAAGCGCAGCACCGTGTGTGCTACGACCGCGTGCTGCCGTCGCTCCTCGGAGAGCAGGGCCTCCGGGAGAGGGGGGGGGGCCTGACGGCGGCGCGCCCGCAGCAGGTCAACACGGAGTACGGCGACGTCGTCCACGGCGTCCTCGCCCCGGCCCGGCCATCCCTGCCGGATCGGGGGGCGTCAGGGAAGGGGGTGCGGACCAGGGTGGATGGGCGGGATGGGGAGGGGGGGGGTCGGAAGGAGGGCGCCCCAAGGGAGGAGAGGGGGCAGCCTCCGGGGGCCGGAGAGGGAGAGGGGGGCGTTCTGAACACGAGCGTCTCCTGCGCCCCCCGCCTTGACGCCTCCCTGACCCGGGCCGGCACGGCCTCCGGCCTCGGGCTTCTGGCACGGCTCACGGCCTAGCTGTGAAGCGGGTGAGCAAGCGGAGTCTCGACGCAGCCTCGCTGGAGGGTCCTTCCCTCCCCTCCCGGAAGCGGCCGAGCGACGCATCTTCTTCAGCTGCAGAGGAGGAGGAGGAGGAGGAGGAGGAGGAGGAGGAGGAGGAGGAGGAGGAGGAGGAGGATAAGACACTGCAGGGGAGCGCCGCGCGGTGCACAGGCGGCCACCTATGAGTGGGCGCCGCATAAAGCGCCGCCCGTGCCTCGAGAGCGCGCCAGGACCCACCAATGGATCACGGCCCTCGGCACACAAGGCACAAACTTGCTATGGAGATGGCACTGATTCGATACTTTGAGCGTCCCCCAGGTGGACCTGGGACCGCAAACTACGGCTCCACTAGGAGCCGAACCCATCGAATTCCTGGGTCCGTGGCCATCAAAGTCCTCGGTCCAGGGATAAAACGACCTTCGGCCCTCCATTCATCGGCGGGGTGCCGACCCGAAAGAAATAGCTTGCGGTTGCGCTGGGCACGTTCCGACATCGTGTGACCATCACCTGATTCACAGTCAATCAAGAGGTGACTTGCAGTGCCTGTGCTGTAGAAGCCGCATGAAGCACAAAGCACCACCTGTCCTGATGAGACCCATCATATGTGGCCTCGTGAGGCCTCCGCGGGCACGACACCCGGAGGAGGAACAACAGAGGCTGGAATGGTCTCGGCCTCTCGAGTGGGTCTATTGTTACGTCCACCTGCTCTCCTCCTCTTGCTACCGCTAGCATCAGGAAGGAAGGCAGGGCCTTCTCTGCTCGGAATCACAGGGTCGATCCTACCCAAAACCTCACCGTGGGCAGACGCGATATCCGATGGGACCAGGACTCGCTGAGTAGCATTGACCAGCTCTTCGGCGTCTGCCGAGGCTACCTGCACAGTATCATGAAAGGTGACTCTGGGCCGCACATTCCTGTCGCTGGTGCGAGAGAGAGCTTCCTGAGGCTCGCGATCGAGAGCGCTTCCCGCACTCAGGTCCCGTGGAAGTTCCGAGCACAGTCCCTGGGTCGAAGCCGCGGGCCAGGAACCTCTCGGCGCCCTTCCTTTGCACCGAAGATTCCGTCTTGGCCCCAGTCTTACAAAAATTGCACCGCCAAAAATTCGGGCGAATACAAATCATAGCGTGACAATTGCTCGGATCCTCAAGCATTACGGGGGACTTCGTTCGCTTCACTCGCTTAGGTTGAGCACGCGGAAGCGTACTGATCCTACCAGGACCAGCATGATGCAACGCCGCAATGACAAGCCAATGCAACATTTGCCGAACAGAAGTCAAGGCCATCTTCATGGCTCGCTGTTGTGGCTTCTCAGCGGCATGCAGGTCTCTGCCCTTGCGCGCTTGCGCGCCGCCAAGTCAAAACGAGTCCCCCGCTTGATGTCCTTTGACGTGGGAAACCCGAATGGCCTCTCCAAGGGCCCCGAAGTCCTCGAGCTTCCTCCAGATGGAGACCCATAAATCGGCATTGGGCCGCCTAGGCCCACACGTGACTTGTGGCCCAGCTTCCAAACCTTCCAAGATCCCAGGAACATCGGAATGTACATGGATGGGGAGGAAACAGACATTAAGCACCTGCAAGAACGCATACAGCTCAGATCTCGAGGAGCTCTGAGAGGGTCCAGGCAAAGCCCCATATACCATGAGCTCAATGTTGCCCGCCCCATATTTTACAAAGCCACATCCTGCCCGCGTCGATCCTGGCCAAAACCAAGGCTTCTGGCACGCACCGTCCGTGAAGATGTTTCCTGTGACGCTGTCCAGAGAGCCGTGCTCAACATGCCATCTCTGGCTGTCATCACGTCTCGGCAAAGGTGGGAAGCACGACCTTGGTGCAAGACCTCTTGCCCAGAACCTAGAGCTTTCCCTCGCAGCGGGCAGACCCCGCATGTCGATACTGCCTGTAGCCTCTGTACGCTGCCGTGCTCGCCCAGGACGTTCCCAGACAATCTGATAATCAGTGCATTGCTCATTCGCGCAATGTGTACAGCACGAAGTAGGAGCACGGCCGTAGCGATACGATCGGTTTGGCGACCAAAAGCCACCTCAGACGACAGCGCGTAGCATAGCAGCTTCATTGTAGGCGGTGCTCCAGGTCCGCGGCTGCGGTGTTTCAGGCGCCTCCAGGTCCGAATCAATGCCCTCGGGCTCCAGCGGGGTCCCTTTCAGGAGGCGAATGACTGGCTCTTTCCAGTACCCAAGAGGCTCTTTGGGGTCCATGTTGGCGTCCGATGGGATATTCCTCGCAGCCCAAGGCTCCCAAAGACGTCGCACTGCAGCTGCACGGGCTGCATCACGAATGTTAAATGGCGCGTCAAAACGGAGGTCGAACGTGTCACTTGAGCCGTTGTTATAGATAAAAGGCAGAGGTAGATCTCCACTTCAAATCCCGCAATGCCAGCAGCGTGGCCCCTGTCGTACCTGCTACCTGACTCCACGGGGGGTCAGTTCGCAGAATGCGAAAGACTTGTCGGTGCCAAGTTTGCTGCACGATGTCATTAGAGATGCTCCTGTCCCAGACCAGAAGTGCCCAATGAAATATTGGCTGTACCCAACACGCTACCTGGGGATCCTCAACCGTAGAGCCCTGGAGACAAGATGTGATCCAGGAGGAGGTGGAGGACCCTGGCGTACACCATGTTCCCCTCATGACGCTCCTCATGTGTTGCACCAGAGGTGGGGGGGGCGCCGTACACGCCTACGCCGTACTGCATGGCTGATGGTAGCGCCTGGCGTGCAAACCTCGCCACGATTGCACCAGCCATCCGTAAAGTAGAGATACGTGGCATCCTTCGTTTGGCCGCCTTGATCCGACCCCTGTGCTTACGAAACCGAACCGGACGACGAGCCCCAAGTGGTGGACACGATGCAACACTTTCTTGCCAGTGAGGGGGGTGCTGGAGGTGAGGTTCATTCTGTGACTTGCAGGTTCGAGCTCAGTACCCTTTAGGACTCCCACCAATAGTGTTAATAGCTTGACAGCGGCTTCTACTATTATTTCTGTGGAACCGATGATGGTTATAGTGATATCATCGGCGCACACATCGATCGTCCTCGAAATAGTGTCGGCGTGTCGGAAGAACGAGTCGACAGGGGAGAACATCACGCATTGGAGGCAAAACATGGCCAGAGGGCATCCTGGCAATACTCCACGCAGTGCCCACACGGGCTGAGAATAGCACCCATCCCTTGCTACCCGTCTCGCACCCTTGTACATCTGCAGCGCGAGAACGAGCAAGCGTGCAGGAAAGGAATAAGTGACTGCCGCACCGACCAAGCGTTTCCAAGGGACACGATCAAAACACTTCTCACTATCAACGATGGCTTGGACGGTGGCGTGGCAGATGTCGCTGTAGGTGGTGGCCGCCTCGGCCTGCATAAGCAGGCGCGCCGCCACGTCCGTGGTAGACTTCTGAGCTCCTAACGCCAGGTATGGTCGCCCTAAACTCGCCGCCCAAGAGCGTATCCACCAAAGACGAGCCTTGGCCCAGAATCGGTAAACCGAATTAAGCAACGCAATCGGCCGATATCCCCCTGATGGTTTGCCAGAAAAACGAGGAGGAGAAGGAGGAGGAGGAGGAGGAGGAGGAAGGGGAGGACCAGCAGCAGCAAGTAGACGCGGCATTATTCTGGTGGGGAGGGGGGCGGACGGGGGAGGAGGAGGGGGAGGAGGGGGAGGGGGAGGAGGGGGAGGAGGAGGAGGAAGAGGAGGCGGTGGAGGAGGAGGAGGAGGAGGAGAGGAGAGGAGGAGAGGAGGAGGAGGAGGAGGGGGAGGGGGAGGGGGGCGGGCCGGCGGGCGACCCGAGGTCACCGTCACCCTGCAGCGCATGTTCTGCTGCGGCCGGCGCTGCGCGGGGGGGTCCGACCCACCCACGCAGGTGCGCCGCCCCGCCCGCCCGCTGCCCCCCTCGGCGGCGAAGGCAGGGAGACGGGGGGGGACGGGCGAGAGGGGGTCAGGGTTAAGGAGGAGAGAGTCACGGGATCGCAGACATGGATCAGCGACGCGTGGATCAGCGACGGGTCTTGCCTCCGTACAGGATCGGCGCTCTCCGTCGCCAAATCCGGCGACGTTGGCATCAGATCTCGGGGCCGCCTTGCCCGATCCATGGCTCTAGCGCCTACGCGCCAGATACACTGATCACTAATCCATGTTAGCGCGCGCCCAAACCAGACAGCGCTGCCGGGTTGGGGGCCGACTGGGTTAAGGTGCAAGCTGCGCTCGCCGCTAGCGAGCTTCGGAGCCGCATCGTCAACAAGAGCGACGAAGACTTGCTCCTGAGTCTGGCGGGGCAGCGGAGTGAGCGTCGGGACGCCCTGCGGAAGGCCGAAGGCCGCCATTCCGCCGCGGCCCTGGTTCGGCACACCGAAGGGCTGGCTGATGCGCGCCCTGGCGACCAAGCAACCGCACTTGCACTCGCAGACGACGAGGATGGCGCCCCCCTAAGGACGGACCTCAAGGCGGCCGTGCAGGTCGCCATGCACGCGAACGACGCCCCCGTGTGAGAAAGAGCAGTTGGCTGTGCCATTCTCGCTCAGCATGGTCGGCCAGGATCACACGTTCTCGGCGCACCTGGAATCTGCCAGCTCGCCCCTGTCATCCCGAAGAGTTCGAACAAGAAGGAGGAGCTTCGACGACCGTGAGCTCGAGTCCGCCAACTTCGAGAATTCCAGCAGGCAGCAGGCGAGCGAGGCTCCGACCATGAGCTCGGCGCTGACGGATGGAACCGAGCTGAGCGACCCGGGCGGTGTTGGAGCCTCGGGTCAGCAGCCTCGTGTGCCTGCGCTTCCTCGCCCTTGGTCGGCTCAAGCTCCCACGCTGTAAATGCGATGGGGCTGGTGGGATGGGATGCGGATCGCGCGCGGGACATCCCCGAGTGCCCTGAGGGTGACGACCACTTCGCCGTGGCCTCCCATTCTCGGCCTCCCCCTTGCGACGCTTCCACGCGGACGGGGATCTCGTGGTGGCACTCGCTGAGCGCGCCGGGGATCTCAAGGAGACACGAATGGATGGCTGCTGGGGCCGCTGCCTCCATCGACATCGGTCACTCGAGTTCATGCTTCTCGCTTTGGGCCATGCTTGAGGGGCACGAGCCGCCTCGGTGTTCATGTCCGCTCCCAGTCCTCCCCCAACTCCCCCGCAGCCTCCCCCGCCTGCTCCTCCTCGTCGTCATCCTCCTACTTCTCCTCCTCCTCCTCCTCCTCGTCTGCCTCCTCCTCCTCCTTCTCCTCCTCCTCCTCCTCCTCCTCCTCCTCTTCCTCCTCCTCTGCCATCTCCTCTGCGTCCTGCGCCTCCTCCTCCTGCTCCTCCTCCTCCTCCTCCTCCTCCTCCTCCTCCTCCTCCTCCTCTTCCTCCTCTGCCTTCTCCTCTGCCTTCTCCTCCTCCTCTCCTCCTCCTCCCTCCTCTCTCCTCCTCCTCCTCCTCCTCCCCTCCTCCTCCTCCTCCTCCTCCTCCTCCTCCTCTCCTCCTCCTCCTCCTCCTCCTCTCCTCCTCCTCCTCTCCTCCTCCTCCTCCTCCTCCTCCTCCTCCTCCTCCCTCCTCCTCCTCCTCCTCCTCCTCCTCCTCCTCCTCCTCCTCCTCCTCCTCCTCCTCCTCCTCCTCCTCCTTCTCCTCCTCCTCCTCCTCCTCCTCCTCCTCCTCCTCCTCTGCCTCCTCCTCCTCCTCTGCCTTCCTCCTCCTCTGCCTCCTCCTCCTCCTCCTCTCCTCCTCCTCCTCCTCCCCTCCTCCTCCGCCTCCTCCTCCTCCTCCTCCTCCTCCTCCTCCTCCACCTTCTCCCCCTCTCCTCGTGGAGAGTTGCCGGGGCTCCTCGCGCGGGGCTGTCCCGTGCAGGCCGACATCCAGGAGAGGCTCATGTTCCTCGTCGAGAGCATGAAGGATGGCCTCCGACTGCCATCTTCTCCGTGCCCCGCTTCCCTGCTTTCTCTGATGATGGCGGCCCACAGGGGCGCCAATACCATCGTCGTTCTCCTTTTGCGTGAATCTAACTTTGGTCGCAGGGTCCTGGTGTCTAGCCTCTTCCTCGTCCTCCTCCTCCTCCTCCTCCTCCTCCTCCTCCTCCTCCTCCTCCTCCTCCTCCTCCTCCTCCTCCTCCTCCTCCTCCTCCTCCTCCTCTCTCCTCCCTCCTCCTCCTCCTCCTCCTCCCTCCTCCTCCTCCTCCTCCTCCGCCTCCTCCTCCTCCTCGTCGTCCTCCTCCTCCTTTCTTATTTATATATATATATATATATATATATACACAAAAAGACACCTGAGTGGGTCCCCACCCCCGTCACCAAGGGGGACCCCCGGGCGGGGTTATGGTCCCAGGTTCCTAAATTGAAAAATGTATTCCCTGGACCTTCAGGAGGACTGGGCCTATGGCATTCCGCCTCTCTTCTTACTTAATCGCTTCGCTCATTCCGCCGGCCCTGGAGCCCTCTTTAGGGCCTCTTGGGGGCTTCTTGGGGACCTCTTGGGAGTCTCTTGGGGCTCCTTGGCGGCGTCTTGGGGGCCCCCAGGGCCTCTTGGGGAGCTTTTGGGAGCCTCTTGGGGCGGGAGGGGGAGTAGTCGATTGCGGCTCCCCCCTCGGAGGCCACGATCCTCGTGACGGGTGTCGAAAAATGGCCCTCACCTGGAGTGCTCTGGTGGCTCCTCCCGGGACCTTGCCAGGGTACTTTTCGTCCGGGGGCCCCCAGGGGCCGCTCCGCGCGCGCGAACTAGAAATATTGTTCACCAGTTACCAGAGATCTTAGCACGCCTCTGGCCCGTTGGGCCGGCGAATAATGAAGTACACTGCTTAATTACAGGGGTAGGGGGTCCTGGGGCCCCCAAAGTGCACTGATTTGTCTTCTGGCCGTTCGGCGGGGGGCGCCAAAAAACGTCAAAGGGGGCCGAGAGACGTGCAAGAGGGCGCCAAGATGGCCCAAGGTCGCTCCAAGAGAGCCCAAGACCGCGCAAAAGCGTTTCAAAATTGATCCAACATGGCTTGAAGACAGCCCAAGAGGGCTTCCAGACGGCCAAGATGCCCTCAAGAGGACGTCCACGAGATACTCAGTAGGCGAAGAAAGTACTTGTTTGTGTCCGAAAGGTTGTTGAAGGTTTGTCGTTTTCTCGCTTTTTCGTGCTTCCGACGGTCCAAGACAGCCCACGGGGCCCCAGAAGTCAGCTCAAGACGCCGCAAGACGCACCCAAAAGGGGCGCCACACCGGCGCAAGAGAGTCCCAAGACGGCCCAAGAATGCCCCAACACTCCCAAGACGGCCCAAGAGGCGCCCAAGATCGCCCAAGAGGGCCCCAAGGCGGCCCCAAGAGGGGCCCAAGAGGGGGAACACGAACGGACAAGTCGAGCCTTCCGCCCCAAGAGGCCCCCAGGAGGCCCCAAGAGAGCTCAAGAAGCCCCCCAGAGGCCCCCTAGAGGCCCCACGATGCCCTAAAGGGGCCCAAAAAGATAACCAAAAAGAGCACCCCTAACGGCCCCAAAGAGGCCACCAAAACATACTGGTGCGTAGCAAAGGACCGCCTAGCCGATCGTGGCATCGCAGCGCTGCATGACATGACATGGCATGGTACGGAACAGCACGACAGAGCTAAACGTGTCAGCGCATATCACTGTATGTTTCAGCATGTCATAGCATTGCATTGTATAGCAGTGTTCAGCTCAGCCTAGCACTGCACTTCATGACGTATCATTGCCTAGCATGGCATTGCAAATCATGACAAATCGTGGCGGATTATGGCATTCCAATGCACGTACATTAATCGAGCAGCACCGCACTGCTCTGCGCAACAGTAAACAGACAGCATGCAAATATCACACCCCCATCGTTGTTCTTATTGTCGCCCTGTTGACTCTAGCCTAGCAGCACATAGCATGGCATAGCATTGCATAGCATAGCCCGGCATCCCGTGTTTGTGCATACCTTGTAGCGTGGTAGCATCGGTCTTCATGGGAAACATCGCATGCCATGGTTCAGCACAGCATCCCATATACTAGCATAGCAGTTGACAGTACAGCATGGCATGGCATGCAATGCGCACCGTAGAGTACATCATGCGATTGCACTGCATACTGCATCGTGGCATGGCGCTTTATAACACAGCATGGTGCATCATGGCATTCCATCGCATAGCGCAACATGGCGATGTAGCGCTGCAGTTTTCCTGGCCCATAGCTTGGCGACATGTCACTGGTCGACCAGCAGATGAGAGCGGAGGAGGAGGAATGAGGACGAGTCGGGAGGAAACAAAACATGTTGACCTCATGCTGCAGGACCGCTCTGTTGTCTCAATGCGGTCAGCACTCGACCAGCTAGAACCTAAACGCGCGCGAAGCGCGCGATGGTTTAGCGTGTATAAATGAGATATTTCTATATATATATATATATATATATATATATATGTATATAGATATGCGTGTATGTACATATCGTTGTTTGCAAGAACCTGCTTGCACTGCGTTCTCGCTTCCTCAGCCTATCGACCACCCACGACGGCCCGAGGGGCCTCCCAAGTCGCCTAAAAACCACCCAATAGGCCCTCAGAGGCCCCAAGAGCCCAAGAAAGCCCCAAGACGGCCCAAGAGAGCGCCAAAGCGGCCCAAGAGGGCCCCAATGGGGCGTCCAAGATGGCCCCCCATACGACACCAAAGCCACCCAAAACGGCCCAAAAGGACCCCAAAGACGGCCCTGGCGGCTCGAGGCGCCTCCCCAGTCGCCCCAGTACGGCCAAAGCGGCCCACAGGAAGGCTTCAAGAGGGCCCCAAAACGGCCCAAGAGAACCCCAGAGCGTCCCAAGAGAGCCCCAATGGGGCGTCCAAGATGGTCATTCTTCCTACATAAATAGCACTGCTTCCCAAACTTGACCACCTCAGTTTGAATTTTCGCCCACGCCGATCCCGAACAGTTCGAAGGTCCCCCACGACGGCCCCCTTCACCCGAGGGTGCCCCAAAGTTCCGCTTGAACAGGAGCGAGCGCGCACTGCGTTCTAACGTTCAGGATGTGGGGGAGGAGAATACAGCCAGCGGGCTGAAACACAAGAGGAGAGAGGGAGGGGAGGGGAGCCGACCGGACTCCGTTAGCATCCTTGCTCCAACCCGTCGCCTCGAGAGATGAACCTCTTGATGGCGATGATGATGAGGATGAGGGAGCCAAGGAGGGAGGAACACATGGGAGAAGGGAGGAAAAAGGCAACGGATAAGGAGAAACGAGAGGGCTAGATTTCACAAAGTGGAGTAAGATGGGGGTGGGGGATGAAGGATGGGGAGAGGAGGAGAAGGAGGATCAGAGGGAGAAAGAATTATAAAAAGTTGGAGGTATCTTCGCGATAATTGCGAGGAGGAAGATGGGGAGGAGTAAGAGGACGGTAGTGAGCATGACGAGGTCGATGAGGGTCTTCGCTCTGGCGGTCCGTGTCGATTGAGCTTCGAGAACTGACTCTGACCCGTCCGTTGTTGAGCCGGAGCCCTGGTCTGCGCTAGAAGCTAAGCGTGCGCGCAGCGCGCGTGGTTCTATGATAGAGGTTCCTCAGTGATTGCATTTTTGCAGAATGGCGAGGAGCGTCCCGTGATTGACCCCGTTCAATCCGCAATCGTATGCTCCAGCGCGCATGGACCTGTTTCAGTTAGGGGGGTGCTTCGAGAGCTCTCACATCTCACCCTACACCGCAGCCGGTCTCTCAATAGCTGCCCTCCGTGCCCCTCTCTGGTGTGCCCACGAGTCGAGTGCGGCTCCCTGACCTGAGGGTCGGCCGACGGGTTCCTCAGACGTGCCTGCCGTGAGAAGACCCCGCGAGATCGAGCTGGTGGACCATCCTCGTCGTGTTCGTGGCGGGCGTCGGGATCGGCGCTACAATGATTCGGTGGCTCAGTGTAAGCGGCCAGCCAGCGACGAGGGGTCCGACCCGATTCGCGGTCCCACAGCTGGAGGGACCGCCCGAGACGACTTGGACAGTACCTACATCTACGGTGACAGCGCCTGGCCCGACGACGCCGTCGACCAGACATGGCAGCAGCGGGCGCGCGAGTGTCTGACCTGGCGGAGCTCCAGGCGGTGGTGCGCTATGATGATGATCTTCACTTGGCAACGCAGGACTATTATACGGAGGGCGCGAGACGCGATCTGGATGACCCTCGCCCCAGACCTCGAGTTCGAGCGGCTGGGCCTGGACCAGCGGGGGCACCGAGTCCTGGAGCGCGGCCTGGCCTTCCCGGCCGAGATCGTCGGATACCTGCGCGCTTTCGACCCCATCGACAGGGGGGGCGATCGCGATGCACAAGAGGCGGGTTCGGCTGCGGGCAGCGGTGCTGGGCGGGGACGAGGATGAGGCGATGGACGCCGAGGAGTGGATCTACGCCGACCTCGACGACCCCCGCTTCGGCACCGCCGCGGAGGCCGACATCCGGGACAACGACCAGTTCGTGGAGTTGGCACGCCGGGGGCTCGCGCGTCGGGGGGGCGCCGCTCGCGGCATCGAGAAGGCGGCCAGCTCGAGGGTGCGCGAGCGGCGCGAGACCCGACGCGCGGGCGCGGAGGAAGTCCGCAGCTCGGGCGCGCACAAGGCTGCGGACGGCACCCGGCGCTAGCCCTGGACCGATGCCGCGGGCACACTGCGCGAGAGTGCCATGCCAAGGTGGATTTTCGAGGGGCCCAGAGCGCGCAAGGAGCTGGCCGCCTCGACCCGAGAGGGCGCCTGCAATCCGACCTCGCACCACGCCGAATGGATGCGACTGTCGGGCGCCAATCAGCACAGTGCGAACGCGCGCGAACATAAGATGGCGATGGAGATGCTACGCATGGGACGAGTACGGGCCAGGTGGGCATCGGCAACCTGGCCCCGTTCGAGCTGCTCGCAAGGCGGGCGGTCATGGTGGAGGCGGCGGTGGCCGGAAACTTTTGGGGCCC